ACTATGACAGGTGCGTTCAAGTTGAGTGAAGCAGTCATTAGTCACCCCTAGTAAATGCACTAAAGTTGTCCATCTCATCTGACAAGGCATTGAGAATGACTATGGGATCTAAAGAGTTTTCATCTATGTGGATCTTAAAATTGGCTACATTTCTTATATGAGCTAATAAAGATGCAATTGCATTTGGTCATCTTTCTTCCAAGACTCATTTGGATCATTGGGAGCCAAAATCAAGGAACCAGATGTCCCTGCGGGCCGTTTGGACCTTCTGGCCCTCTAGTCCCTTCTGACCCTTCTAGTCCTTCAATCCTCAAGGCACTTTCATGAGAGTCTAATTCTTGATAGTGTTGTTGTAGTGCCCAAAGAAGGGCTTTAATTTGATAAAGATGACAACCCCAAGAAGATTTGAAATGTAGTACATTCTGGAGGAGCTGGTCCTCAAAGTAACCAGAAATCTAGTTGCCAACATAATGAGCTGGCTCCAGACTTCATTGAATAATTGTCAAATTTTCTATTATTAAATCCTGGTTATTATTGACAAATGAGGAGGCGGCGTTGTAGAAATCTACAACATCTGTATGCAAGGCTTGAGTAAGTCTTATCTGTCAAGCTACTTCATGATGATGTATCCTTAATACTTGTAGGATATAATGGATGTTCAAATGGATAAAAAACACTGGAGGTATCATTTAACTCCATGGGTCAATTCTCCTGAAGACAGTTGGTCCAAGAAAAATAAATTCCTGAATTTTAAAAAGGTATGGTAGTAGCTCAATTTCAACTGAATGTCCTTCCACAGAGTAGATCCCATTTAGTAATTGTTGTATAATTTGTTGATATTTTCATGATGAATTTGATACTTGGTTTGATCAACAGAAGGCAAGGTAAACTCAAATGTGGCCCAAAGTTTTGAGCTTACAGGCTTTAAGGGAGTCACCTCACAATAAAATTTCGATCTATCAAGCTGCACTCATTACTCAATCTGCATGTTGGTTCTCTTGACTGGAATTATTTTCCACCTTTCATGATAGACAAAACATTATACAGCTCAGAGCCCCTGGTGTGAACTCCACTTTTGTTGGCTTATAATTACTCTAGACTCTAGGATGAGGTTCAGAGGGGCTTGAAGCTGTAAATATATAGAACTCTCAAAGCAGCTGGAAAGGAACAGTGTATAGACTATACTTTTTTATTAGATCAATAAAGTTTTAATATATATATTATAGGTCAGGATGTATTTCTAAGAAGATCTCCTTGGTTCCCCTTGATTAGGATCTTCCAAATCATTCCATATTAGCTGTTTGGTCGAGGTATTCATTGTTCTCCATCCTCAATGACCTCATGACCACATTGATCAGAGGCTCCCATTGTGAGTTGTAGGGAGCCAGGAAGCCAATCCAGAAGGCATCTTTACGAGATCTTGTGAACAAGAGGATTACTATTTGGACCTTTCCAATCCATCTCATGTAGAAGGTCCAAGATTCAAGAGATTATATTAGATATCTGTATGTCATACTCAATTCACAATAGGGAAACTTGACTCAGTTGTTACATTGAATACCAACAAGGATTACAATAAATAGGAAGTACAATGAGTATAATAAGTAGAATAAGCATATGTAACCATTTATGTAAAAAGATTGATTAAAGGATGAGAATTGATACAAGACAATTCTAGAATGCCTGGGAGTCCTAAAAGATGGGACAGATAGCAATATAGTTTTATGTCTTGGATGATTGCATCTGTTCTTGTTACATCCAAACTAATAAAAAGGATTGAAAAGTTAGTTATCCAAAGTTAAGTCAACATTTTGAAAACACTAATTAATATAATAAAGGTCATTTACTAGCATTCAGTACATTCCCCAAATCAGTGTAGAGTGAGGCAGGTGTCCTTCAATTCCTTGATATCCTGATGCATAAAGACATGACGCTGAAGAATTTTTAGTTCTTCCTGTAAGTAATTAGTAGCTTTAACGTTACTGCCATTATGTTTCACCAAATATGAAACTTTTTCTGGGTTTACTGGCTGAGTTCTCTTACAAATATAACTTAGTTTGCCTCATCTCATGCAGTGGTGATAGCATTTTAGCCTCTAATTGGAACAGTTTACTCCTTAGACCCAATCAGGGTAACGCCTCTCTCATTAATGGCTTGTAGGATGATCTTGATTGAAATGTGGTTCATCTGGCTGATAAGTTCATCCAGTCATTGGGAAATTTGCTGGATAATTTCGTAGCTAAAGTCCAGTGTTTGTCATACACCCTTAAAACTATTCCCAGTTGGGTATGTAGGGATTTCAGGGCATCTACATTTTGCTGATTTTTACTAAATAAAGCTATAATCAATGCATGTTGTTGGATAATAGTCATCTGGGAGTGCTCAAGATGGTTATAGAATCTAGTAATGTGCTGCTCATGGTTCTCAGTGTTGCTGATGAAGGATAGTTCTGCTATGATTCATGCCGTGATATCACTCGTTTTCCTGAAGCAACTGTTCTTGTAATTCAAACAATATAATAAAGAGGACATAAGATCAATAGTCATAAGATTAAAGAGTTGGAATCAAATCAATAGCATTCTTCCAATCTTCTATATCTTCTTGATGGTGAGGGAGAAGGAATTAATTCCTTCAAACTGGGGCATATAGTTCCACTCTACTTTAGCTCATGCTAATTGAGAAGGACTGGGCGGATTGATGCATAACACAATTAATTGTTCATTTACAGTATTCGCTTCTTATGGTTTGGGTTCTGTTAAATAGTGTTAACCAGATTATGGTTCTTAAATATCAGCTATCATGATTGATTAATTGGATGCCACTTCTAATTAATGAATTTATTATGAGGGTTTTGACTTTTAATATTATGATGAGATCTGGAAGATCAAATTATATCAGTCACCCTTACCAACTAGATTTATTTAATTTAAAATTTCAACTTTTGGTGTTCAGTCCCAATTTAGCTCTTTAAAATGAGCTCATTTGATGCATGGTGGTTCTAAGGCATCAATCCAAATTGCCAATAGTTTTTAAGTATGATTTTATATTTCAATTCTGAGTTGTGCTCTCTACTTGATTGGGTTAATCTATTTTGATGAAACATTTATTTTCAAAAGTAAAAGGGATGAACCTTAGTAGAATTTATTATTTGATTTACTGGTGACCAATTGTGAGGTAAAATTGACAGACTACTATTTTAAATTTACAAAGATTATCAGTAACTAAAGCTGAGGATTAATTTATATAAAATAATTATTAAGATTTACCAATGGATGAGACTGGTAGCTTGCTATTTATGATTGCATTAGACAATGCTGAGGTTTCTTAATCTGTAGCTACTTTAGGATGATGCAGAGGACTTTTGCAAGGTAGATTTAGAGGTTCTGGTAGGTGATACTGAGGACAGTTAAGGTTGTAGCTTTCTTGATGTAATATGCCTTGTCCTACACCAGAATCCAATATGACCTCAGATACTGTGAGAAATAATTAGGTAGGCTGATCAGCTATAAAAACCCCACCTTTATATCAAATAAAAATCTCCTTTTACCTATTTTTATCTTTTTTAGTTAAATCACTCATGTAAATTCTGAATAATCAAAAAGATTCTTAAAAAATATATGCTGGGAGAAACATCTAGGGGATAGTTGCCACAACCACTTCCCACCTGGAGCTACAAGAAATCCCTGAGTGGACTTACCAGATTAGCTAGCTAATGATGAGGGATAAAGGGAGACTAACTATAAAAAACTAGAATTGATTAAGACAGAGCTGGGCTGCCCAGGCTAAGAGGACCATATGGGTGTTGGTGCACTCATATCAAGAGGTCCATATGGGTTAAGAGTGACAGCTCTGGGCTATAGTGAGGTTGTTAATCAACTGATAGTGAAGTTGTCAGCTATGCTAAGATAGAGAGTTACTGCTGTAAGCTATGTAGCAGAAAGGTTGCCAATGATGTCAGCAAAGAAAGGGGTTAACAGTCTTCATATTGTTGATTCTGGCACACTAGCCAAGTTCCTGAAACGTTGAAAAATGTAAATTTTCAACAGAGTCTATATTTATTTTGAATTATTTATCGCTTTTGAATGGGTTAAATGTGGAAGCCCACTGTAGTAAGTACCATGATGTAGTTTGTGGAAAATGCACACTATTTTACAATTTAAAGTTCCTATTTTAGACTTTTAAAATCTTTCTTACTTGCATGCTTTGTCCTCTGATAAGGTCTGTTCACTGAATTTCTAATAGAGGAGCTTCACAGTAAGCATTTACTACTTTTACTAATATAGTAAGACTACTTCAGAAATGACTTCTAAAGTGCTAGATAAGTCTAGGAAAAAGGTTATCCTTTATTAGGATAAGAATGAGAAATATTTATAATCAGTTTTCTAGCCACTGAACAATGACGTCCTGATTTTATTTGGCTTGATCAACATGGATTACAATGGATAAAATGGATAAAATGGGAATAATAGTACCCATTAAAATGAAAAAGGTTTACTAAAGAATGGAAAACACCGCGTGTCAATTCTGGAATGGCTGGGGGTTCAAACTATGGGATGGATAGCAAAAAGGGTTGACAACTTAAATGTTTTCAACTTTTCTGTTTATGCCTGGATGTAAAAAGAGCGTAAAGTTTTTTATCTTAAATTGTGTCAACATTTCTTGACATTGGGATTCAAGAAGATATATGAGCAGCTGAAACAATATAATTAGAGGTTTATTCACTTTGATGTTATTATGCTATCAGTTGTTTTAAAGATTGTCAATCACAAGCGCTTACCACAAGAGCAACCTTGTACCATTTAGTTAAGCCTTATTAATTCTTTGACATTGTTTCAAATTTACATCATAGGCTGCTGCCCACTAGTGATTACCAGGTCAATTATTATTGTAGTTGTCAAACATCTTTCTAGAATGGGTTAAATCCAAACTGATCTGGGACTTGGGGACCGCAACAACTGCTTAACTTATTTTAGAATATAATCTATAAGAATGGGTACCATGCATTGTTGGTTTAGTGGTATAATGGCCGCCTGCCACGCAACCAACCTAGGTTTGATTCCCTGACAGTGCAAATTCTTTTTTCGACCTTCCTCAAATAAATAAAAAAGAATGGGTACTCTCAATTTGTACTGACATAGAATGACACCAACTTTACCTCCCATGTGATTACAAATCTCAACAAAATTATTGAGGTTCAAGGGGTCTTGTTGACACCCTATCACCCTAAACCCAATAACGCGGTAGAGCATATGAAGGTACCCTAATCAGCATCCTTCAGGAATTACCATTAATAAGGCCATCCAGTTGGACCACTTCTTACCCTCCATAATCTTCACATAAAACATTGCATTCCACTTGTCCATGAGGAGGTCACTATTCCAATTACTGTATGTAAGGCAACCCGCCCAGCCTCTGATTTTATACTCCTATATCCATGAAGAGAAAATGAGTTCCACCAATAATTATAAAATCTCAAATGAATATTAATTCAGCTCAGGCTGAGGCATACTCCAATGCATTGGCCCAGAAGATGAGTGCAGGGAGAGTGACAACCAGAGCCAAACCCTTTATCCTGCCTTGTCATGGGAGAGTGGGTGCTTTATTATGATAAGCATGGGTTTTTAAAAAGTAATAGTGTATAACACAATTGGAAGGGACCTTTTAATTATTAAAAAAGTCAACAGACACCTAAAAGTTGAGTGCTACTATTAAGGGGCTTATCATAATAGAGTACATGCCAAGTTTCTGCCTAATTTCAACAGGGCGATGAGGTATCAACCTCTAATAATCATTAGCCCAGCTCACCATTTCCAGGAAAATTGTTGACCTTCTTTTTTTGCTTAAGTGTGGGGGAATGTTGATAATTGGTGTTGAACAACCATACAAGACTGACCTTTAGCATATTCTAATATCACAAATATCTCTCCACTTTACTGCCTGCATCTATTGTTAAACCATTAGATTACATAAATTCACTGCCACACCACCTGCATTTTTTGGTAGATTGATTAACATTAATCTGTTATTAGATATTTCTCCAGTACTATCCAAGTCAAACCCTAATATTACATTAATCTCACTGCTGCACTTCCTGCATTCTTTGGTAGATCAATTCCTATAATTCTTTAATCAAAATTTTATGAAAAACTGTCTTTCAATTGGTTATGATCGCCCTTGTGCCTTGAGCCCCATTCCATTCCTATTCCTTCCAAGTTATAGTTTAGTGTATCTAGACATTCCATTCTAATTGTTTCATCAATCAACCACCATCCCTATTATAAGGAAGCTGTACCAAATCAGTCTACTATCAGTTTCTGACTTATTGCAAATCAAGCCTTCAAGTCTGGGTCAAAAGCCTATTAACAGACCAAAAATAGGCTTAAACTAGAAGTTATAGGCGCTGCAGAGAAGACCAATAAATAGAATTTATTCCAGATACCAAAGGGCATATATTGGGGGTCATACAATGGAAACAGGGACTAGGGGTCATGATAGAAACTAACTGGTAACAAAAAAGTATGGTATTCTACAATTTCTTTTAAAATCTAGAGTCTTATAATATTACAATGTATCTTAAATATCAAGATTACTAACCAATATTACACTGATGCTGAAGACATAATACTAAATGATTTAATGTATTTTTTTCTAATTTTAAGTTTTACTTTAGGTATTCTGTCTTCATACAGTTATACTTGTTGAGTGCTTTACCTGTTTATATCTTGCCCTGTTGTAACCCCAGTTGCAACACCCTTGTCACAGGTGGGTGCCAGTTTATTATCTATAATAAAAGTTCTTTGTTTTATAAAGGACCTTGCTCTACAGACCATCTACTGCCTTTACACAACATTGTGTTATGGTCTCTATCAGTTGAAAAGCACCAATTGTAGAATTAAACAATATCATACATGTATTGAAACAAGCACTTTTCTTAATAAATACCTTTCTAACATGTCTGCTAATAAAGTTGTCTCACTTGTTTGTTGTCATTTTAACTTCTTTATGGTGGCTAATCAGTCCCACTTGTCAATTTTACATAAATTATCCTGGTTTGTTGCAGTAATAGTAACAAATCATACCACTTCCCCATAACAACAGATGTTAACTAAACCATTGTACCCATAGCCTTTACCTCCTCCTGATGCTGCACAAGCTATACCTGTAGTTGCTCCACTTCAGTCATGTGTTTTCTTGTGAGGTTCTTTGGTATGCTTTAATAACTACTTCCCTCACGTCATCTCTAGGTCTTTTCTTAACTTGCATTGTATATATGGTTATCCCCTGAGAATCTGGGCCCTCTTATGGTTGGTGGAGAACCCAAGTTGGAAGCTCAGCCTCAAAGGTTTAGTCATTTGAATGGCATCTGCAATCATACTGTGGTGCAATCTGTGAATTTATTTAAAGGAAAATAATTGAGATAGTCAAAATTTACTATAAAAATTTAGATAACCCAATATATTTTAAAGTGATTATAAAAGTTCTATTTATCCAAAGTTTTGCCCATAAAATTTTATGCAATCTCTTAATTTATTGTTTTTTTTAGTACTAGATGGTCTCTTAATTTATTGTTGATCTAGTATTCTTCATCCCCTGGTAAGCCTAATTTGAATAGAATTATATAAATTAAGGTTAAGTTTTAATGATATAAAGTAAACCCAAAATTTTGGGGCAAAATTAAAGAAAGGAAGAACATTCCAATTTCTTAGCTTGAGATGTTTCCCTTTCTATAGCCATCTATGTAGCATAAATCATACTAAGAGTAGAACGTAGTGCTTTTAGTCTTTTACCTCTGCCATTATATAAAGAAATTTTATTAATTGTTCCTGACTTATCAGATTTAGAAACCTATGATTGTTGGAGATTTATCAACCAATTTGAAATAAATTCAATCAAACTTTGTTAGACTTCTCTAGAATTATCTACTCTTTTGATTGCAATTAGTTCTAACATATTGAAATAAAATTAAATGAACATTGAGCAGAAATTGTATGTTAACATAAAATAAGATGAGTATAAAATCAAATTATTAGGCTTATGCCTATTAAAATTACTCTAGTAGGTTTAGCCCAATGTAAATATATGACCTTTAGATTAATTTTTTAGTTATATTTGGAAATAACAATACTGGGTATGTAGGTCTGACTATTAAACTATCTTACATTTTAACAACTTTTCTTTGCATCTACAATGTTAATCCCTATAGCCATTTTCTTAGGAATGTTTAGATTATAAGCAAGCTCTTGTAGGCTTAGGATATAATGTATGTACAGATAAAGTTACTTTTTATATCCCATATCTATTTAATTATTTTATCTAAAAACTTGTCTTAGTGCAGCTTTATACTTTATTTTTGCTTTTTTCTGTTTTTTGGTTAAAGTATAAATGGCAATAATAAAAGAGCCAGGCTATGACTTCTATGATCTGTGGCAGGTTGAGAAGGATCTTTCTGGAATAACTTATGTATTGTTACTTTACTGTTACTATGTAGTACCACTTATACTTATTCAATTTATATTATGCTGAAAGTAACCTTTTAGCCAATGTTAAACAGATAATTAATCTAAAAGAATTTATATGACTTGTTATACTATCCTATACAAATGATTTAGTATAAGATAGAATTTTTGCTTATATCATAATACTTGGCTTAAAATTAATTATATGATAAGTAATCCCATATAAAAATTGAATCTTTGAACAAAACTTTTTTTATATAATTAAAGAAATTAAAGTTTGATGTCAAATATGTATCAAGTATGACAACAAGTAATCTATAGGAAAATGCTCATTTTATAATATTTTATAATCTTCTCTATACTGTGCCTTAAATATTTTTATCATTAATCTTTATTTTACTAATCTGTACATAGATTTACTTTATAGGTAACTTAATCATTAAGAAAAAAGTTGATATCTTTTTAGTGAGTGCAAGCTAATAACAGTTTCTTGTTAAACCTATACTTACTAACTAGTAAACACATGCAAAATTTTTTCATATTGAAATCTTCAAATAATTCAGTATTTTTTTGATTTTTGAAATTAATACTTAGCAAATCTTATAAACAAAATATCAGAGTCTATTAAAAAGTGAACATATTTACAATTTATAAATTCTTTGTATACAATATTTGATGTTAGAATGTAATTATCTTAAATTTTTGTTTGTCATTTTCAGTTATTGATACAAAAATGTTATCAGATTTAGTGACTCTTGAAAAGGCTACATAGAGTTGTCCATGAGTAAATATAGCATTTGGCAAGTATAATCCAGCTCTTTGAAGCATTTGTCCCTGAGACTTATTGATAGTCATTGCAAAGGCAACTTTCAGTGGAAACTGTCTTCTGGTCATTTGAAAAGGCATAGTTAGGTTAGATGGGGTGAGGTTAATTTGTGGTATGACTACAGGCATTCCAGAGTCAATTAACTTAACAGTAACAGTGTATTTATGGAGGTGCATGACAAGCATTCTTGTCCTATTGATTAGGCTCTATTTAGCATTTATATTTTTTATCAAAATGATAATAGTAACTTAAATTTTAAATAAATGTTGCTTTTTAATGTAAACTGGGTATGCTATATCAGAAGTTGATAAAAAAATCCTATCCACTGATACCTGATTCATTACTATATGCTTCATATTAGTTGAGGAAAAGGGATATTGATAATAAAAATAATATATACAATACTAACTATTTAAATCAAGCATTAAAGCTAAATAAATACTTTATTAATTTTCACTTTTATTTGGCATGATAGAGTTTATCTTATAATACCAGAGATTTCATTTATAATACTAATATAGTGTATTAGCTCCTCATTGTGCTTTCTGATTGAAAATTATACTACTGCAAACTATATTAGTTACTATTTAATTTATAAATAAATCTATAAACCAAAGTAAAAATGGAGCTGAAGAATATAGATTTGTACAGTTTAGATTTTATTTTAGTACTAGTAGTATACCTGTGCTTTGCTACGGTGTTTATAACTTGCCAGACTTTTTTTAATTCTTTTAACTCTATATCATTAATTGAATAATGATAGGAATGATTGAAAAAATTATATTCATC